ATGGCGCCCAAAATTATGTTCGATGATTTACCCTATGTCGACAGAATCCTTCGCCTTTGCTTAGATATTTATTTGGTCCGCGAGAGCGGCGATTTATGTCTCGAAGAAGACTTGTTTGCCAAATTAATCTTCCTCTACAGATCACCGGAAACACTAATCAGGTTAGAGTTTTGCACCAATAGTTTTGTACCATTTTTGGAGTATAGACATTATTAAAATTTTGCAATTTTAATTATATTTATATGAAATCATGATTAGACTAGATTTCACGGTAAAACTTTGATACGAAAAACAATAGCAAACAATACAAAGGATACAAAAATGCTGTAACAAAAACAGTATAAAGTAGCAATTAATGAGATCAATGATAAACAAGATATAAATTTTATATTTTCAGTTATATATTTGCGTATGGAATTTGTTTAATTATATTCTTATACTGATTAAAACATATACACAGAGATATAAGCATAAACATAAAGTAACAAACAAGAATCAATTCACCAATATGAATTAAGCCGTAAAACAATAGACATAAAAAAAAATTAATTTTTTAATAAATATAATGATTGAAAAAAATCGTTTCATTAGATGGACGAGACCGCCCGAAGAAGGAGAACGAACTGATAACGAAGATCAGTATGAAGAGGGAGAAGAAATATCAGAAGAAAGAAGACAAGCAGAACCATCGATTCGTCGTGACTGAATGTAGAAAATATCAGTTCTTAAGTAATCAATGGTTTCTATGCATATTGTGCAATAAACAGATACTCCGGAAATCGAATGAAATTAAATGAATTTTTTCAAGATAATTTTTCTTTCATAGGATGAATAAGATAATATTTACACAGTAGAAATTGTGTGTTTATAAAATCACTTCTAAAATTATTAAGAAATAAACATCCAATTTTAGATTAAATACGATAAAAAAATTGTCAATATAAAATATATTCAAACACAAATGAATAAACAGTTACTTCTATAGAAACATGACCATTCAATTATCAACAGACATGGCATGTTGTGATCATAAACAATGGTGGATAGTTCGTGAAGTATGCACAGACCCGGTATCCGACTTTTTAAGCAAGATACCACTAAATGATTGTAACTATATTATGATGTTCCTATTCAACGACAAGGCATTCCCCGAGAGCTTAAGCTTCATCAGCGGATTTGGGTAAATTAATAACAAAATAGTTGATTTTTATAGACATTCATAATAACAAAATTGAATTCTTCGTAAAACTGCAATAATTTTATGAAATCATTAGTATAATTCATTGATTGAAAATTACATAATTACAAACAGGATCATAGGATTGTATACTACAGCGGTGATAGTTATAAGTCAAATGATGCGGAAGATCGTCAGTGATATGGCGCCCAAAATTATGTTCGATGATTTACCCTATGTCGACAGAATCCTTCGCCTTTGCTTAGATATTTATTTGGTCCGCGAGAGCGGCGATTTATGTCTCGAAGAAGACTTGTTTGCCAAATTAATCTTCCTCTACAGATCACCGGAAACACTAATCAGGTTAGAGTTTTGCACCAATAGTTTTGTACCATTTTTGGAGTATAGACATTATTAAAATTTTGCAATTTTAATTATATTTATATGAAATCATGATTAGACTAGATTTCACGGTAAAACTTTGATACGAAAAACAATAGCAAACAATACAAAGGATACAAAAATGCTGTAACAAAAACAGTATAAAGTAGCAATTAATGAGATCAATGATAAACAAGATATAAATTTTATATTTTCAGTTATATATTTGCGTATGGAATTTGTTTAATTATATTCTTATACTGATTAAAACATATACACAGAGATATAAGCATAAACATAAAGTAACAAACAAGAATCAATTCACCAATATGAATTAAGCCGTAAAACAATAGACATAAAAAAAAATTAATTTTTTAATAAATATAATGATTGAAAAAAATCGTTTCATTAGATGGACGAGACCGCCCGAAGAAGGAGAACGAACTGATAACGAAGATCAGTATGAAGAGGGAGAAGAAATATCAGAAGAAAGAAGACAAGCAGAACCATCGATTCGTCGTGACTGAATGTAGAAAATATCAGTTCTTAAGTAATCAATGGTTTCTATGCATATTGTGCAATAAACAGATACTCCGGAAATCGAATGAAATTAAATGAATTTTTTCAAGATAATTTTTCTTTCATAGGATGAATAAGATAATATTTACACAGTAGAAATTGTGTGTTTATAAAATCACTTCTAAAATTATTAAGAAATAAACATCCAATTTTAGATTAAATACGATAAAAAAATTGTCAATATAAAATATATTCAAACACAAATGAATATGTAAATTATATATAAATTATACATAAAAAATGTCCATATAAATGTCTTCCAGAGTTGAGCATGTATTTGAAAAATTTTTATTTAAAACACAGTTTTTACAACAAAAAAATGTATTTTATATTTTGTATTTCAGCGGAGCACATGAAAATATTACATATTTTGTATTTAAAATTGAAATGTGGAAAGATTCATGTATTTCGTAATTTAAATAATAAGATTAATTGTCAATCCTAGTATTTGAAATACAAAATATTTTTAATCTTTCGTTATTAATATTAAAATACAAAGTACAAATATTTTTATATATCATTATGAAATATAAAATACGAAACATTTTCATATGGTCTGCTGAGTACAAGATACAATTGTCTCACAAATATCATTTTTCAAACAAAAAAGTATTTCAAATACATGCCTAGCCTTGACATCTTCATTCTTTCATACAATTTTTATCCGTGTAAATTATAGAAGGTTCAGACAATAACTTTTATATTGTTTTTTTTTATATAAAGTAAAGTTTGAAGAGATATGAGAAAAAATTAGCCGTACATATCGTATATAATTATAATAAAATTATATTTATATATAATATACAAAAATTAGATTTTTAATTATTTTTATTTTTTATTAATACTTTTCTAGACTTATTTATATTTTAATATGACAATTTTTTTTTAACGAGAATATCCAAAGAATTAGACGAAAAATTAAATATTTCAAGCATGAAGAACAATTTCAAATTTTTGCACGATGATGAATTTACGTTTATATCGTATATATTGTGTATGTGTGTGTGTGTGTGTGTGTGTGTACATATATACTTATATGTATATGTATATTACATACATATATATATATATAAATACATATTCACATGTATATGTGTATACATGTGTGTGTTCGTATATTTCTCTTTTGTGAATATTGATTCATATTTTTTATTTCATTAATATTTATTATAAAAAAGAATTGTGAACTTCAGAAAAATTAAAAAGAGCTCAATTAACAAATACTGAAATATCAAATGCTGACCAAGGTTACGCAATGCAAATATTTTTACCAAAATATTATAAACATGATAAGATATAAATATATTAAGAATATATAAGAGATATTATCATTATAATATATAATTATATAATTTGTATCAATAATGAAAAATGTGGGGTAAAAGAAGTTTGCAAATACTATAACATCATCTGCTTATATTTAAAAAAAAGTTTTTGTCTCTCTCTCTCTCTCTCTCTCTCTCTCTCATCGTCTACTCAAAAATTTAATACCACCGTATTTGATATAAAATAATTTTAATAAAATGGCTATTCTTATATTTATAATCATGTACACAATTATTTTACGTACATATTTCAATATTATATAAATTTAACATATTTAAATGATAATGAAATGACAGATTCGGTTTATGCAGTTAATCTACTATAATATTTTACTAATAGGTACTGTTATACTTATGTTTATATTTTGCCAATATAACAAATATTTTGGAAAATCTACATATATTTCAGACATTTTACAGTATATTTATATTTATAAACTAGAAATTTTGTTCAAATTAATTAAAGTGCTTTGATTGTGTATTAAAGCTTTCGCGCAAAATATTTGCAAACCGCTGGCATTATAAATTAAAAAAAAAAAATGAATTTATTTGTCAAAAGACAGTGCAATTATTTAAAAATGCCGTTATCGTGAAAATTTGTGTGCTTACAAAGTGAGATATATGTATATGTTTTTAGATTGTGCATTTAAAATTTTTAAATTTAGTTATTTGTAAGACATTGATCGTGAAGTTGACGTGATTTCTCAGTCGTTTTTATACGTATTTTTAGTTGCAAATGCGTAACGGCTTTGCAATTTGGCTAATCAGCCAAAGATATCCATACTTTATAGTATTTTATGAGAAATGTGTGTATCATCGCAAGAAAAAGTGTTTATAATGTATTTGAATAATGTGTATATGAAAATATAGCAGCTCACTGATACGAATTATTAAAAGATATTGTTTCCAAATATATATACATATATACTTATATATATATATATATATTCTTTTCTAAAAATACCTTTTATAATATCCTGAGAACTTTATTAATATTTTATGAGAAAAACACGTAATTTTATTTATTTCAATAAATCATTAAATTTAAAATTTAATTTACTGCGTTAAATATTGCAACAGTATAAGAATAAAATTGTCTTAGTAATTTTGATGCACATAAGAAACTATGTAATACGAAACATAAAAACAAATTTTGTAAGTAAATAAAAACTCATTTATTATATAAATGTTAAAAATTTTTATTATAGGATAAACTCTTAAAATAGTGCGCATGTATCTAAGAATTAGTATCTAACATTTTTGTAAAAAAATAAATTATTTTAACGATATATAATGTCGTCGATATTTCAGTAAGTCAACATATTTATTTCACTATATGTATTAATATTTAATTGTTTTGTATCATTATTATATTACCATAGTATTAGATAAAAATATCAATAGTTTAGTAAGTATATGGCAGTTTTCGTGTGAAAATCTTTTTTTTCAATTTTATATATCTTTTAAAATGTCAAGCAATTAAAATGCATTGTGAATGTCTTCATTAGCACTTTGTGCAAAAAACAAAATATTTCGTGGTCCAATATTTAATGCAATTGTATGATATTATGTCTGAGTTAGCTCGTTATATTTTAATTTCAAAGTCGCGTTTTCTTGTCTCAAAAATTCAAGTTCTTCTAATTTATTCAGTAAACTTTCATTTCGCATTCGCAAAGCCATCAACTCCTGATGTAATTGCTCATTCTCATCAATCAATGCTTTCATTCTAACTGACTCTTTGCTGGGATGCATTTCTTTGATCAGATCATCTGTTTGGTTCAAAAGATTTTTTATCAAGGTAGCTTGAGAGTTTATATGTAGCTCCTGCATAGCGCGTAGAATTTTTGTGCTTTCTTGCTTGGTATATGTGCTTATCAATTCTTTGATAGCAGTAAGTAAAACAACTGGATCTTGATCTTGTACTTTTATACCTGATTTCCTCGATTTATCAGTTAATTTTTCTTTCTCTTTAATTGGGTTATAAGGACCAGCCTCCTTGGAAGAATCAGAGGGACGACTATTTTCTTTACTTGAAGTATCTGAAGAATTATTGTAAGAAGAATCAAGAGAGCGTTTATTCTGCTTCAAAAAAATATTTGTGGAAGTTTCTTTATATGATCCTGAACGTCGTTTATGATCTTTGTTTTCAGATGCTTTAGAATATTTTGCTTCATGAAGTTTTATTTTCTGTTCTCCGCTAATACTCTGCTGATTACTATTGTTTGTTTTTATTTTTGTATCGGAAGATTTTCCTTTGCTGTCTGGAATCTTTTCCAATTTCTCTGATGCTTTTACAGAATGTTTTTTTACATTTTGATCAGATTGTTTCTTGGAATTTTTCAAAGAAGATTCTTTATTATCTATGATTTTTATATCAGGTGTACTTGGAATTGTTATCATAATATGTTCCTTCTGTCGCATAATGTCATCTCTTTCATCTTGTTCTGAAAGATGAAATAATGGAGATGAAGTAGCATGCCTAGTAGCCCTGGTAGTTACATGACGATCCAGTTGCTGAGATGTCTTTGTTGATTCTTTTGGTATTAGTTCTAACTCTTCCAGAAAAGAATCATTCATTTTGAGTATGTAGACGTACGTGAATATCTGACTTGATGTCTACAATAGACATATCATAGCAACTGTAGAAAAAGATACACAAAATTAATAACTTTTTTTTACAACATTTAATAGAGAATTCGATTTTTTGTACTAATTAATACATTAATAAAGAAATTCTGTATTGCTACTATTATTAATATTATGATAAAATAACAATAAAAATTAATATATTACGGTTCTGATAAATAAGTACCTACATCAATACGACGCACAATAGTAACTATTCAAGTAGAACTAAATTATATATATATATATATGTATATATACATATATATAATGTGTGTGTGTATATATACACTTATATATAGTAAACGGCACACTAACCTTGTCGTGTGATCACCAACGCGACTTCTACAAGTTCTACAACTCAAATAGATTTAAAACTCAAATACGAAGGAAACGTATTGCCTTCAACTACCTTGGTTGCAGTTAGGTTGATCAGCTGATCGTATAGTAAGCGGCAAATGTGTGCTTACAACTTTGCACACTGGTGATGGTGACGCGATAGTCTGTTATGCGATAGTAACTACAGAAAAACCTAAGAGAGGGCTTTTTTCTTGTAACCGCAAAATTTATCGACGGCGAATTACCAATTTTTCAATTATCGACCGCACTCTGATTTATATCTATTTTCTACCGTATCTACACTATCTACATTTATTTTCGATTTATATAGGAACTATATATGTATAACTACGTACAGACAATAAAATAGATAATGTAATTTACATTAAATTAAATGAGCCTTAAGGTGATGCTGGACCAGAAAAAAATTAAAAACTTACAGTTTCGTTATCGGCTTCTGTGATTTTCGATAACGAAACTGTAAATTTTTTTTCTGTTTTTCGTATTGAAATGTAGCTAGCGCAATTCATTGTTGTCGATACTTTAATTATACGAAGGATTTTTCCATCCGTAAATGCAATTAAGAGAAACGAGTCTTTAACTAAGTAATGATAAAACAGGACACTCCAGCATCCCTTAAGGTCCCCTTAAAAAGCAATTTAAATAGCAACTTCATAAAAAAATTAACTATAGTTAAGTTTTTAATAAATGTGTATCTAAGCTTTTTTAAATTTTCATTGCATACTATTGGATGCATTTATATATATATGTATTTAGCATATCTTTTCTTTAACTTTTACGAAGTCCTTTTTAAGATTAATCATTTATTCCATTTTTAAATAAAAATTAGAGAACAATTGTTTCTTTTCTTATATGTTTCATTAAAATTTATTTATATATAATTATACTTACATTGCGTTAAAAAATGTATCCATATGTATCATTTTTTACAAGTACATTTTATTTTATTTGTTCTGCAATATGAATGCATCTTCAGTTTCTGAAACAAACAACTGTATTTTTCTTTATTTAAAATGGGTGTATATTATATATGTGTGGATTATGTTGATACTTATTAACTTTTAAGAGTTTTCAAATAAAATAGTGCAATGTTTGAAGCGAAACAGATATATGGCGGTGTTTCATTTTCATTTCGACTTTTGTATGTGCGCACCAGTTCAGACAGTGCAGAGAAAAAGAACAGGTCACGTGTTAACCTATTTTCGCATATTTGTCGTATCGTTGATAAAAACAAAGCAATTATATCGATATGACAATAATTAACATGACGAGCCACAATTAGATACATGTATTGAGTTCAGTTAGTTCAGTACTCAATACGGAAGATAATATCAAGCAGTATCGGTCGTAACTTTGATCTTATAATATGTACAGCGTTCTTATGCTAACTTTGAGCACATTGTTGCTCGTATTACCGCACGAAAGTATAAGTGGATTTTTGAATGTGTATCCACAATTGAAGCAGTTTCAACTCACCGATAAGGAGGATGTTGGTGCACCACTTTTCTTGACGCCTTTAATAGAAAATGGAAAAATTGACGAGGCGCGAACAAAGGCTCTCGTCCAACACAAAGAGATGAGCGATATTAATAGTTATTCAGGTTATCTCACAGTTAATAAAACCTACAATTCTAATCTGTTCTTCTGGTTTTTTCCAGCCACGGTAAGTAACGATTAATATAATCTTCTCATAAAAAAAGATCTAAACCTATAATACCAAATTTGTCAAAAACAGATTTTGTAAAGTGCTTACAGTTTCTGTAAAATTTGAAGAACTGAATTTATACTTCAGAAGGGCTATAGATTTCTTACAATTTCTGCATTCGGTAGATTCTGCTACCACTCTACTGATCATGTTAAATTATATAAAGTTCTATTGACAAAACGCAATAGCTTAATACAAATCTAACTGATAACAATCTGTTAGCATATTGCTAATAGTTTTTTTACTAGGATAATTATTATAAGAAATTTTCTAAACGTGTATACTTTTTAGTATTTTATAGAACATGTTTCTATATTTATTTTAAATTTTATTTGCATGTAATTTTATATATAAAACATTGTTTGCAAGTACTTGTGATCTCTGTAATTCTTAAGCGTTAAAAATTATATAGATTTATCATATATTAAATGGTTTATAATTCATTACAAATTAAGTTGGTTTACGATCAAGATTAAAATTATTAAACAATTATTATTTGTGTGCCATAGCACAATCCAAAGACTGCCCCAGTAGTATTATGGCTGCAAGGTGGCCCAGGAGCAACTTCCATGTTTGGTCTTTTTATGGAAAATGGTCCATTTATAGTTACTGCTAACAAAACCTTGACAATGCGAAAATATTCATGGAATATAGCACACAATTTAATATATATCGATAACCCAGTTGGTACTGGCTATAGTTTCACTGATGATAAAAGAGGATATGTAAAGAATGAAACACAAGTAGGAAAAGATATTCTAACTGCCCTGGTACAATTTTTTTTATTATTCCCAGAGCTACAAAATAATGATTTCTTTGTCACTGGTGAATCATATGCTGGGAAATATGTACCAGCAGTGTCTTATACCATTAAAGATTACAATATCAAAGCACAAACAAAAATTAACTTAAAGGGCCTTTCCATTGGTAACGGACTATGTGATCCAGAGAATCAATTACTATATAGCGATTATTTGTATCAACTTGGACTGATAGATGAAAATGGAAAAAATCAATTCAAAGTATATGAAAATAAGGGTCGCGAATTTATCAAACAGAAGAAATATCTCGAAGCGTTTGAATTATTTGATACACTTCTTAATGGAGATCTCAGTGGCATGCCATCTCTATTTCACAATCTAACTGGTTTTGATTATTATTTCAACTATTTGTTTACGAAAGATGGCAATGATTCTGATTGGATGTCTGAATGGATTCAGAGAGCTGACGTTAGACGGTCTATACACGTGGGCAATAGCACTTTTCATGTTGAAACTAAAACTGTCGAAGAACATTTGAAAGAAGATGTCATGCAATCCATAGTACCTTTATTAACGGATCTTCTACAATATTATAGAGTGCTTATTTACAATGGACAATTGGATATTATTGTGGCATATCCTCTTACGGAAAATTACTTAAAAAGTTTACAATGGTCCGGAGCTGACAAATATACCAAAGCATCAAGAAAAATATGGATGGTTGGAAACAAAGTAGCAGGCTATACAAAAACCGTTGACAATTTAACAGAAGTCCTTGTACGAAATGCAGGTCATATGGTTCCTTCAGATCAACCAAAATGGGCATTAGATCTCATCACACGTTTTACCCATAATAAAAAGTTCTAAATGATTATGTGAATTATTATATTGAATGTATGTGATAACACAGTTTTGAATGTTTTATCTTAAAAATCTCTAATACGTATATATATCTACAAGGGAGTTATAAAATACACAGATCAATTATCACAGGAAGGTTTAAAAAAAGTTATAAAAGTATTTATCATTTGTTCTAAGCAATAATTTTACAGACATTTATATTAAAACTCAATTATAGATTACAATTAAATGGCTATTTGTTACTTTTAATTTTTGCCTCAAACTGTATTTAACTTTTATCGTTTTTCAAAATTACTGTTTAATTGTACGAACGACGTTTAACTGTAATCTATAATTATCTTTTTAACTATAATGTTTAATAAATTATTGTTCGGAACAACAGATAGCAAATATCTTTATAATATTTTTTCGAGAACATTCTTGTTACGATTCGCGAATGTTGGAACACCTTGTATATGTAGACAGTTAATAATACAAGGCAATTTTTAAGACGCTAGCAATACTTAAGATACTCTTAAAATACTCCGGAAAATAATAAAAAGATTAATAATGTAATAAAATGATAATTTTATAATAGAAACAAATTTAATAAAGTTATTAATAAGTATAAAAACTGTTTAGAAATTTTTCTATTAATTTACGTTATATACATATAAATCTAAATAATTTACATTAAATACATTTTTTTATTAATTTACATTATATAATTTGAAATATATATAGATTTAGACTTCAGATCTACTATCGTATCACTTAAGCCTTTTGAGTCATCACAGCTATATTGAATCATCAAAAGGGAGAAATGGCACGTTAATTTTTATGTAAGTGAAAATAGGCTACGCACGGAAACATTTCACGCCTTTTATCGCTAGAATTATTTACTAACTGTTAGGAGGATAAGAATAGCTTTTGTCTATTTTTACAATTGTTTTAAAGCAATTTTATTATTTTGCTTTATCCAAATTATTTTTATTTACAAGTAGTACGTAATAAAAGTTAATGTTATTTCTCACTTCTGACGTCACGATTTAATATGACTGTAGTTCACTACTCAGGAACCTTAAATTATATTCAAAACCATAAACTCCAATAATTAAGGGCGAATAAGAGTGCAGCGTTATTATTGGTACGTACAGTAATAAGAAGTGAATTTATTCAAATTACTTCTTTATTCCATTTTATTCCATTGAAATAACAATTTTAGAACGTTTTGACTTACTTTGGAGTTATTTTCAGCTAATACAAATTTAATATATCTCCTTTGTACTTGTATGAGTTACATCAAATTTATAGATTTAATGTTGAAATCATTAATAATAATAACATTTTAGAATTTGACTGGTACCATATAAGTCTACATTCTCAAGGATATACCTAAACTTTTTATCCTCACATCCTCTGTCTCAAAAAAGAGCCATACTTATAGGAATGATTGATAGAACATTTTTGTTATTACATCCTAAATACCCTTAAAAAAACATCAGATACATAATCAAGACTTTACTAAATAATAATTATCCTGCTGATTTAATTTTTGAAACTATTAATCCACGTTTAAAATGATTAATACAAAACAGAACAAAGATAAGAATGCATACAATGCTGCACTCTCATTCACCTTTAATTACTGAAGTTCATAGTCTTAAATTATATGTTTATATATGATATGTATAGAATATTTATGTATAATATACAATATATAAAATCTCTTAATGGTGCTACATACATTTTAACAAACATGTGTAGCACACAATTAGCATGCATGCACATAAAAGCATGTACATTCATGCATATATACAATACGTCAAAAATTTATATTAATATATTTTAATATAAAATACGAGAAACAAAATATAATAAAAGTAATTTTCTAATGTTTACATTTGTTAGACATGGCAATGTATAACAAATGGCAATTTGTTATACAATATATTTGTTACACATTTGGCAAGTTTTCAATCTCATTTCACTTATGTATTATTTTATTTAATCTAAGTATGGTAACAAAAATTGATCTACTACAGAAATATTTGTATGCCATTCAGTATGAGAAACTCCAGGTACTGTAATGATTTTCAACTTGCCTTGTTTATCTAACGTTTTTAAACCGATCAGGTCATCTTTATAAATAGATCTATCACGCATGTCTATCACAGTGCTGTTATTATCGTAATATCCAAAATGGCTGCTTTTCCATGGAGTGATAACGCCATCATTTGGTCCTCCAATAAGTATCATACGTTTCAGCTTGGTTAAACCTGTTTTATAGTCAGAATTATTGAAAACGTCGATTTCATTGTTCACGTAAGGTAGAAACTTGCTATATTTGTAATATAACTCCTAAAAAAAATGTACATTAGAATGTACAATAATATACTTAATACATAAGAATTATAGAAAAATAAATTAAAGTTAGTAACTTGATGATGAGGATCATTCCAATAATTTCCAATACTGGTATATTGTCCAAGTCGTGAATAAAAGAGTTCATAAGCAGTCTCACAAACTAAATCTGGGAAAATCAAACGCAGAAAACGTGCTGAAATCAGGATTTTATAATTAGAACAAAATCTTTGCTCTATTTTCTATTCGAATATTATAATATACATACTTCCGTATTGCCCCGCTTGCGGTGAACTCAGAGAAATAAAATTTCTAACATTATGCATAGGAAATCTTTGCATTATGGCTCTAGCTAATAAACCACCTTGGCTATAACCTATTAAATTAATCCCTTCAGGAAATGCAGCACCTATAGAAAGCACATCCATGCCTAGTTCCTCTACCTGTTTCCACATTGGTTCAAGACTACTCCACCCTGCAAATCTGATAGTGTTGTAGACTGGAGTTCCAGGATGCATCTGTGAAGATATATATTATATATATATATCAAATACAAAAAAATTTTATCTTAGAAAATACAAATACAAAAGGATTTAATCTTTTTACGAAGACTTACATATCACAAATAATAATTTTTTTTAGAAAAACTTAATTTTTAACATAAAAATAATTATTAATTTATTAACAGTGTGATGCATGAATAAAACATTATTTGAAAAATAAAAATGATCATAAAATCTCTTTATTTATAAATAATTTTACAACAGACTATATTATATTCATCAATAAAAATGGGCGAAATAATTTACGCGAAAAAATGTAACAAAATCAGTTCACCATATGTGAACATATATGAACAATGAAACAATGTTGATAAATAACGATGTTGATAATTAATGATTTTGTTCTTCGCTAATCTCACCTACCTCCTCAATTCTGTTGCTAATGAGTTCCATGCTATCACTTCCAGTGAGAACTCCATGAATAACGACGACAGCATGATACGATTTTGCTTCGTTATAAAATAATAAATTAATTAAAAATAAATAGATTTGTATAACAGAATTTTTGCTCATTATAATTTTCGTATGCTGTACAAAGCTGACCTCTAACTTTGGCAGTTTGACTGATCCTTTTGCAGCGCTGCGGTGAAATGGAGAAATTGAATGTTCTCAAATGGAACTGATAAGAAAGTAGTCAATGTTACCGATAAATGATACTCTTGTTTGCTGAAATGATTAATTGTTATATTTTCTTTCTGAAGACGTTATCTGACAGAAATCTACACATTTCTTTCAAATATCCATAAACATTTCAAAAAACCTTTTTTTTTTTCAAGTATTTTATAAATATATTATTTTACATACAAATTGTTTTATATAAATTATTTATTTTATTTTATTAATTATTATAATTTTATCATTAATTAGATTGTTAAATATATTCTGTTTTAAATTAAAATTGGTTTCCAATTTTTAACCATTAAATTACTATTAATTATTTATGTTTATGGTGTTAGTTTGTGTTAATGTCTATTTGACGTTAAAATGTGTGTGTCTATTAATCATAAATACATTGCATCGAGAATATCAAATTATATCCTTCCAGAAGTACTCAATAGAAAAAATTTCATAATAAGATCGCAATGATCCCGCAGTTAAAGTCGATGACGATAGATCCAAGGGTGAATGAAAGAGAGGGTGCTGATGGCCGAAGGAATCCAATTGCATTACGAAACTGTGCGTTGGAGAATATAGTAGGTCGCCACCCTAATCCTTACAGGCTGCTATATACTAGGTGGCGGGGCACGTGGTATTTCCCGAGCTCGCTTCAGTCATACATCACCGTACTCTGACATCGCCCCGCTTTTCTCCCAATCCGTAGACGAAACTCACGCCTTGCCAGGGATGCCGGGCGCATTGTTTCGACCAGCGTCATCCATGATTATCACGGCTTTAACCCCTAAAGAAGCAACCCTTTTTTTTTTTTACCGTTTGTACCATTATCCGTGCATTTTGATATACTCCTGGAATCGGGGACTATTATCAACACTTGTATTTCTGGTTATATTAGAATGGCACTTAATAAAACCCGTTTTGTAAGTCCTGATCTTTAATTTTTATATGGGGTACGCTTAAAATATGCTTTAAATTTAATTTGATATATATATTATATACGCATAAATATATATGTATCGAATAAATTTAAAAATAAAACCTTATTTACGATCTTCAATTTTTTTATTTACAAAGTGTAATTATTTTCTGAGCCACACATACATATATTTTTAAATATCGATGATTATTACGTAATCATCACGATCATGAAAATCTATATTTTCTTATAAGAAAATATCGGTAAGAGACTCTCACACACACATCGAATGATCCTCTCGAAATTCAAACGGTGTTTTCGATGATTAACGCGATATCGAAATGAAACAATTTACAGGAGTGGCAGTGAAGATATTTGCTACTTAAGGACGAAATTAGAACTGTCATCTCCTGCTACATCACGTCTAGACTATCATGATGACAGTGAAAGGGGTGTCGCGTCTCTAATCGATTTTATTAGATTCTACGAATCAAATGATTCCTTGGCCTCACAGCACGAGGTCTTTATCTAGCTGATCAGGATTAATCGGATTCCGATTCATTATATCGACATAACACTCATCATCCGTATCCCATTCAATAAATGCTATTGTGGTTATAAGACGTAGACATAAACATTATTCTATTTCTATGTTTTATTAATTATCTTTATTATCAAATAATATTTTAATA